GTAAAAAAATTTAAGAAATTCAACTTTTAGAATTTTTTTCTAATCATTTATGAACCAAATTTAAATTTTTATTAAAAAAGATAATTGCACTATAATGAAAGAAAATAAATTACGAGAAAAAATAACACAATAAGTAGATATTAAAAATAAAATAAAATAATAGTAAATACATAAACATTATATGAAATTAATTTTTATCATTATTATTTCTGAAATGTTCCCAAATATGTTCATAGGAACTCCAATAGGAGTTACTTGTTCCATGAAGCAACTCAAGCCCTGATTTCTTACTATTGGAGGACTCTGACGTGGCAACATGAGTTGCTTGAAGAAGAGAGAGAGTTGCTTTCTCAAGTAAACGTTCCTTACCAGATTTCAAGTAGATCTTATTGAACAGTTGCTTGTCCCATGAAGCAACTCAAGCCCCGATTTCTTACCATTAGAGGACTCTAACGTGGTAACATGAATTGCTTGAAGAAGAGAGAGAGTTGCTTTCTCAAGTAAACGTTCCTTACCAGATTTCAAGTAGATCTTATTGAACATGTCCCATGAAGCAACTCAAGCCCCGATTTCTTACCATTGGAGGACTCTAACGTGGCAACATGAGTTGCTTGAAGAAGAGAGAGAGTTGTTTCCTCAAGCAAATGTTCCTTACCAGATTTCAAGTAGATCTTATTGAATAGTTTCTTGTCCCATGAAACAACTCAAGTCCTGATTTCTTACCGTTGGAGGACTCTGACGTGGCAATATGAGTTGCTTGAAGAAGAGAGAGTTGCTTCCTCAAGCAAACGTTCCTTACCAGATTTCAAGTAGATCTTATTGAACATATTTGGGAACGTTTCAGCAGAAATAATAATGATGAAAATTAATTTATATAATGTTTATGTATTTACTATTGCTTTATTTTATTTTTAATATCTACTTATTGTATATTTTTTCTCGTAATTTATTTTCTTTCATTGTAGTGCAATTATCTTTTTTAATAAAAATTTAAATTTGGTTCATAAATGATTAGAAAAAAAATTCTAAAATTTGAATTTCTTAAAGTTTCTTACCATTGGAGTAAATTTGTGTTTGAGTTGCTTAATGTTGACATGGCACACTAGGAACCACTTTTTTCATTTTTCAATGCATGAAGCAACTCAAATGAGTTGCTTAATACATTAACAGTTTTTGCATATGCAAAAGACAACACACATATATATACATATGCACGATTGTGGTAAACAAGTATATATACATATGATTATACAGTAATCCACAAACTATAAGGTGTAATCTAAGATTGTCAATCAAGCAACATTTATATGTGATGGTTACATCAAAGTAACCCAACAAAACTAGTAGCAAGTCATCCACCAACATTGCCTCACAAAAATCCAAACTGCCTCCAACTAACATTACCTTGCTCCTCTATAAACATGATAATCATAGTCCAATTACAAGTAAACATGTAAGAGTAAGCTAGATTTCAAAAGAATAAGCATATATCAAGTATAGAAGGAATGCAACTGTACTATAAGTATCAACATGAAAACCATATATATGCCATATCACCTTAACTAATGCATCATCATGCATTCACCTACAGAAATATTCTACAATCAAGGTGAGCAGTCTAAGTGGTTTAATCCTACCAAATCAACACAACATTTTCACACTTGCTAGGTCAACAGCCAATTGGTATACCAATTCCTCCAACATGATTTTTTAAATTTTTCCACTTAAACTAGGAAAATCTAGTATCACCATTAGGTATAACATACCTTGGTATGAGTTTACTACGACATTGACATGTATTAATCAAGTCACTTATCTATTTACTCCGCTAACTACCCTCGTGATGTGATAATTGTTAAATATGCACTCGCATTTTATTCAATTTAGGCAATTACTGATATATATATATATATATATATTATGTTTTTAAATATTGTTTTTGGCCACAAACTTAGTCAAGAGATAATTTCAATTTTAGTTTAATTGTTTAAATATTATGTTTTTCTTTGTTGAAATATCACATGGAGAAGATAACTTAGAAAAATATAAAGTCTCAACCAGAATTATTACTCCAAGTTATGGAAATTCACTTAGAGCTACCCAAAATTCACCTTGAGCAAATGAAGACAAAGGATACCCCTAGAAGTATTCACTTGGTTGCTTAGAGCAAGCAACATAGGTGCTCTAAGCGAATGGATCTAACCCGAAAGTCCATAAGAAACTATTATAAAATTAGGTTTTTTAGAGGTCTCTGTGTCAATTCATATTGTAATACATTCTTCTTAGTGCAATTCTAGAAATATTAGAAAGGGTTATGTGAGATCAATATTGTAATCACGGATTGCTCGAAGATTCATCTAAAATTATAATTCTAAATCATAGTGACTAAGCTCTCATTGTTGAGGATTGAGGTAACTATTGGAACTATATAATTTTGTCCTATTTTTTATTCAATAAAAGTATTATTCAATTAATTATTTTCTTATATTCTTAATGCTTGTTTTTCCTTGATCACCAATGCATGATTTCATAAAATTAATTGAGGTTGGAGAACCATTTTAAAACTACAATCTAGAGAACACATTGATAACATTTATTACTAAGAAATTGGGATAAACCTTATTGGAAGATATTTCTTAACCTTAATGCAAGATTGTTTAACAAAAATTACCAAGGAATCGAAATTTTTCTTAAACAACCTAGAATTTATCACCTAAGGAATTAAGATTTAAATACATGAGTAAGTTGTCGAATTAACTATATACTTGTAATGTTGAATGGAAAACAATAAGATTTTACATAGGAATAATTAATGAGACAATCATTTACTAATTTTATCATTGATTAATCTTTATTATAATTTATTATTTCACTATTATTCTATTGCGTTTAAAAAATTTCTTTCTAGATAATTTTAATTTCTTAATAATTTGCCTGTTTGGTACAAATATTATATTAAATAACTATAAACTCAAGCCTTTGCGGATTTGATACTTAGACTTTTATCATTTTTACTGTTACGTCAATTGGTATACTTACCAAATGAGTAACACAATACCACAAACTTCTCTAGTAATTAGATAAGGATTGTAGTCTTTGACTTCATACCATAATTTAACATTGACTAAGGATTTAAAGGAAACTCAACGATCCACTCTAAGAAATAATGCTTACTTAAGGAAGGTTTTTCAACAACTGGACTCATAGAGCACTACACAAATATTCACACTATAGGATATCCAACTTTGAAAATACCCTCTCATTTAGCCCTAAGTCAATTAACATGTTTAAATGCTTATAACATTCTTAATATCAACACCTCAATAGGTCAACAATATTCAACATATCATGCCTAAAGTACTCTTAGCATCACACCTCAACAATATTCATCTATATGCATTACCCTAGATCAATTAATATATATCCAACAACACCAATTAATTTACAACACAATTGCACCTCAATAGTTCAACCATACAACCATCTACACATATTATCATAGATCAATATATATATATATATATATATGTGTGTGTGTGTGTGTGTGTTGCAATAAATTCATTTAACCTATCCATGTTCACCAATTAATCATATAAACAATAAGTTGTTATGAGGCAATCCGAGCTTGGTGCTATTCATCCTACACCTAACACCATTGAGGTAGGGAGTCCTCTTCTTTGTCCATGCCTAACCCCATTCAACTCGTGGCTAGTGTGGATGGGGTAGTGATCTTTGGGCCCTCACGCCTGGCATGGAAAAGCCCCACATTCAGTCCCATTCCAAGTAGAGACAAGTCTCTCTCCTCGTGCCCAATGTCTCTCCTTTAGCACCTAATGTCAATTCAAGTAAAGACAATTCTCTCACATCATGTTCAATATCATTCAAACCACAGCTGATGAAATCACACTCGACGCTATGATGAGTTTTGCATATAACAAACTTACGAATTGGTCCTCCCTTTACCTAAAACCTAGGAAATCAAATATGCATTGCCCCAAAATATATTTACGCATCACTAACAACTCATATGTCATAAGAAATTCAACATGCAATTGCCAATTTGATCAAAATCAAGAATTATTGATAAAATACAATAATTAAAAAAATATATATACAGTGTTACATTTGGTAATATGTCAACTACATTCAAATGTGGATAAATAAGAAGCAACTCAAGATTGGTTCTTACGTCAACTAAGAAATGGCTTAGGATTGTTTATGCCAATTTCCTTTTTTTTTTAACTTAATTTTAAGAGGAAAATTGATTCTCTAACGCAAAATCAAACATGCATTATGTAAATAATATATGTCTAAACACGCAATTCGTCTAAAAGGTGCGTATCTTCTCACATATTAGAAATGTCTAATTAAAGAGATACACACAATTATTAAATAAATATTCTTTTTTAATCATTTAATATATATATATATATATACGTCCACGTGATTGGATAGATACACACACACACGCACACACACACACACACAAATATATATATATATATCTTTCCCTTATCAAAAATCTCTAGACGTAAAAAAGGATCACATTCTTGTCTAAAGAAAAAATTATCAAGTGATTTTAGAAAATTAAATGTTCATAATTCTAAGATATAAGACATGTATTTAAGTTTTTTAATTTTAAAAAGATATATTAACATGTCATATACACATATTACATTTCATGTATAAATTAAATAGGAACCATGTGTCCTTAAAACACGCAATACTTTCTCAATTCCATGTAAATTGCTTGATCCTTTGAAAAGGAAAAGTAGTCTTCTCTGTCTATAATCTATAGTGGTACGGCATTAATGGCTTGAACAAGATTATTTTCCATTAAAATAATAATAAAAAATAATAATAAAATAAAATAAAATAAAACACACACACACTCACCAATTGTAAGAAAATTTTCTTTTTTCAGTCTTGAGTGACCACAAAAAAAAAAAAAAAAAACCCGCGCGTGGAGTTATAATAGAAATCTTATCCATAGTAGAAGGTCCATAACTACTAGCAAAGTTATAGCACCTTGTATTCTATTAAACGCAACCACGCACCACGAAATTAAACCTTAGCTACGACCATGGCCACAAGTTGCTCCTACATGGTTTCCACCAAATTACCCATGGTGGGTTGGAGCGGAGGAAGAACAAGGCAAGTCAGAAACCGGAGACCATTTTTGATTTCAGCCCAACAACAAAGCGATGTTGAGGAAGCAGAGAAAGCCAAGGTGGAAGAAGAGCAACAGCAAGAGCAGGGACAAGTTGAGACTCAGAAACCGAAGCCGAAAGGAACCAAACCAAGGCCAGTGGAACCTCAGGTGAATGTGAGGAGCAAAAACATGTTAAGGGAATATGGAGGCCAGTGGTTGAGCTGCGCCACTCGCCATGTCAGGATCTTTGCAGCCTATATCGACCCAGTTACCTGCGAGTTTGATCAAACCCAGATGGATAAGCTCACCCTTATTCTTGATCCTACTGATGAGTTTGTGTGGAATCCTGACACCTGCAACATGGTTTATTCTTACTTCCAGGAGCTTGTCGATCACTACGAGGTACTTTCCTTAATTAACAAACATTCCAAGTTCTTTTTCCTCTCTTAGATTAGATTAGTTTTACTTATTACTACCACTTTTTATTATTATTATTATTATTATTATTATGTGTGTTGGTCTTAGATTAGTGTTAAGTTTTAATGCTATAGTACTTGACAATCTAGTGGGTAATTAACCCAATAAGGTATGAAAGGGAGAGGCATGAGATTTTAGATATGTGCTTAAGCTAGTTGTGTTGTGTGTGTTGAAATACTAACCTGTGATGATGCAAAGCAGGGTGCTCCATTGACAGAATACACGCTTCGCCTGATTGGTTCGGACATAGAGCACTATATAAGAAGGATGTTGTACGATGGGGTGATCAAGTATAACATGAACGCAAGGGTTCTGAATTTCAGCATGGGCAAGCCTCGGATCATGTTCAACAATGAAATCCAACCTGAAGATGCAATTGAGAAATGATTTGTAATATACACCAAGAAAAGTGAGCATTCATTGGTGGTTTGCATATTATTTTGTTTGTAAATTATGAAAGTCTCTAGTGCAACATTAAACATTTTTTGGAGTTGAGAAAAAGTAATGCAAACCTAAATATAGTTACAGACACATACAGTATTCTTAATTACAGTCCATAATATAGCCTCTGTTCTATATTAAAAATAAAGTGTCCTGTTAGGCTGCTTCCAAGCTTTAAGTCACATAATTGTTGTATAGAATTTCTTTGTTGAAGACCTTTTGAGTCTAATGTCATTATGGCAACTTTACATTGTAGAAAAGAGAATAAATATGATGTTGAAGAAGGACTACATGTCTGCAGAAAAAAGACACTAGAAAAACTTTCATCTCCTTTAGTGGGCCCACCTCACTAAAGTTTTTTTTTTTTGACATTTATATCCCAAGATCATAATGTTAAAAATATAAACCACACAAAGATTTTTTTTATAAAAAAAATCTTTGTGTGGTTTATATTTTTAACATTATGATCTTGGGATATAAATGTCAACAAAAAAAAACTTGTATTTGAAAAATGACATTTTAAATGTGACTTTAAAATTTATTTCTGTTTTAATACTATAGTAAACTAATTATTGAAAGTCAAATGAAAATAATTTTTTAAAATTAATATCACGCTTATTTTAAATAAAAATTACACCAATTTTTTTTTCAAACACAATACTTATTAGAAGAGAGAAGAAGCAACATTCTTTAAACAGAAATTTTAAGAAATTGCAACAAAGGAAGACAACACCTCCACTACCCAAATGATAAGCCAACTAATTGTACTCGAGTAACCTATACATTTTAAATATAGATTATTTCATTTCAAATCCATTTTTAATAATACGTCATTCAGAATGGTTTTGTGTACATTTAAATTTTGACGTGTTACATTTTTTTAACGATCGAACTCAACAGTATTTTATACATCTTTATCTTTATACATATAAAAGTTGTATCGTTGTTTTATGCGGTAATGAATGGAGAGAATTTATGTATTTGGTGTTTAATTTTCTCACTCATTAATTTACATAAATTCTGAAAAATTAAAATTAAATATTTTTAAAAAATAATTTACATATTGAAATAATTTATCTAATATCTCTTAATTTTTCTCTTCATATTAATTGTTAGAGTTTCATTGTGTATTAAAAAAGACAATCAAAATTATTTAAAAAATTTATTCTATAACTTGTAAATTCATAAATTATCTTTATTTTTTTTATATGAAATCTCTGTATTAAGAAAAAATTTATATTTTGATTCCTCATTATTATCATTTCGTTTTATTTATAAAATATATTTTAAATTTCAACCTATTATCAACATTTTTCTTTTATTGTATATATTTAACAACACATGCCTTTAATTTTTTTTTTTTTAATGAGATTGTTGTATTGAAGTTTGAAAATTCTATTAAAGTAGTAAATGAGACAGACAATCTGACATACATTATTGTTAACTAATCCATAAATGAAAAAAAAAATGTTGCCTTTCAAATAACTTAAAAAAAATTCTATACCAATTTGGGATGCTACAAGTCTAAGAATTATATTTACTTGAATGAAATTTAGTTATATTATTTTAAGTAGAAAAATTTTAAATTATTCTTTGGAGTTTACATGGTGTACTACCTCTAATAAAATATTTTACCAATTCATTGATAGATATTGATCATATAATAATATGATAATCAAATTATATAATTTTGTATTTTTTGTTGTTTCATTTTAAGTATATTAAATTTATAAAACTTAATTAATTGTATTGTTAACTATCACGAATTTAGGAAGATGAAATAACTCAATTAACCTATAATTTTAACATATGTAAGTTACTAACATTTTTAATCCAAGAAGTTACTAACATTTTTAATCCAAGAATAAAAGAGGAAAAAAACAATTTTACATCTCCAATAAAAAATATTAAAAGGTTAATTAATTTATGTCTAACACATACAACAAAGTGTTGTCACCAAAATGCTTAAAAGGAATTCTTACACCTGATAATTAAGATTTTTTTATTTTAATAAAAATTTATAACTCTTTTTTATTGGGTCATCCCCTATCTAGAAGAACAAAGAGGTACTATGGTGGCTTCATATCCAATTTAAGATTCAATTTAGGATCAAGTCTTGATCCTTGATTAAAAAGCATAAGTACTTAACTATTTGAACTAATAATTTTTAATATAAATGTTACATAACTAACTTTTTCTATTACCATAAAATAAACATAATAATAATTTTAAAATATAAATAAAATACACTTTGAAACATAAAATTCATCAAAAATAGTTTTTTAATTGTAAATATTATTATATAAAATATATTTTTAAATTAATAATTTGTACATGGAATAACCATACTAATAATAAAAGTAGAATAATTTTTTTAAAATAAAGTGTTCTCACTCAAAATAATACAGCTAGAATTCATTTTTTTCTAAAATTTTGGTGTCTTTTGAAATTCAATTTTTTTTATTAATTATAATTAAATATATTAGCACTTTGTGAGACCCGTGGCTGTTCCCCCTTTCTCCCTCTCAACTCTCTTTTCTCACTCACTCTTTTTCTCTCAAGCTGAAGAGGTTTTTCATTAGAGGTTCTTCTTCTCAGAAGCAAGCCGTGTGGAGCTAGTTGGAGCCGGATATTCTTTGCTCTTCTCCGTTGAGCTCTTCTTCATATTCTTCCCCGTTTCTCCTTCCCGGAAGCTCGAATTTCTTCACCGAGGTAAGGAAAGCTAGGTTTTGCTGATTTTTGGTTGTAAATGAGTTCTAAAAGCTCATTAGAGGCTTGATGATGGATTATTGTTGGCTGAGATCGAAGGAAATTCGTTTTCGGGTTTCGGGGTTTTGGGTGAAATTTGGGGATTTTTCTTTGTTTGATGTTGCATGTGTAAAAAGCTGGGATTATTGAACTGTTGGATGGAAATGTGGAGTTTTGAAGCGATTGCATGTGTTTGGATGACTAGATTTGTGCAGGTTTGATGAAAATTTTTGAACTGGTGAGAGTTACTGTTTGAATTTGCGTCGGGCGCATTTCTTCGCGCTGGGCGTGATTTGAAATGGGGAATCCCTGGGTGAATCATGCCGGGCGTGGGGAGAACCACGCCGGGCGCAATAAACCTCTGTAGGTCTCTGGTTGAGAATTGCGTCGGGCGTGATTTTATCGAGCCGGGCGTGAGTTTTTCTTTCAGAATTTGACTTTATAGTCTTCATGAAAGTTGTAGCCTTGGATGTTAGCTTCCAATGGCGCTGGAATCTCCCAAAAAGGAGTTCTAGAACTCCGGATATGACTATTTTAGTGAAGAGGGGTCAAGCTGCCAGCATTACTTATAGCTGTTGCGGTTTTTATCATTTTTAACAATTTATATGAAGGAATTAATACTTGGTTTCTTCTTTAGAGTTGTATGAAATCTTCTTATCTTTCATATGAGATAAGGATGAGTATGGTAGGAGTAGTATAAATCCTTATACGATGTTTTATGTGAAGGTTACCATTTCACAGTTAGTGATTTGGTTGAGTTGAAAGTTGTTTTAGGTGCTTAGGTTGATTGATGATGAGTTGTGTTGTGAGATGTTCACGCTGAATTATGATGTAAAATTGTTGTGCTGTTAGCTGTGTTAGCTGTGTTGTAAGTTGTTTAGCTGTGCTGTGCTGTGCTGTTAGCCGTGTTAGCTGTGCTGTAAGTTGTTTAGTTGTGCTGTGCTGTGAGCTGTGTTAGCTGTGCTGTAAGTTGTTTAGTTGTGCTGTGCTGTACTGTGAGTCGTGCTGAGCTGGGCTGTCATTGATGATTTTAATGCTGATTTATAATATTGTTGTACTATAGAATGTTGAGCTGAGTTGTGAGTAGTAAGTTGTGTTGAATACTACTTAGTTGTGTTGTATGCTGATTTGTTGTGTTGTATATTGCTGAGCTGTACGTTGTTATGCCGCTATGTCGGTGCTGTTATAGCCACTATTGTGGTGCTGTTATAGCCATTATTGTGGTGCTGTTATTGCCGCTATGCGGTTCTGTTATTGCTGATATGCAGTGCTGTGCTCCGTGCTGTTAGGAGCTGTTGTAGGCCGTAAGGCTGAGCTGTTGATCACTAAGACTAGAGGAGTTGTTTTCGAACTTTACCTCATCCCATTGTGTGGATGCAACGGCTGTGGTGCTCATGGAGCCCAATTTGTTGAAAACCCTCCTTGGAAAGCTGACCCTTGGAGTGGTATCTTGTTGTTCTCCTCTAGGTTCTTAGTGATCCCGTGTGTGGGCAAGGTCGAGGCAAACGTGTACAAAGCGACCACGGTATAGGGGTCAGGTCGAGCTATACCGCTTACAAGCGACCAATACTAACTTATATGCGTGACGACGCATTGTGTGTTTACTGCTGTTTACCGCTATGTACTGCTGTTTTCTGCTGTTATTGCTGAATGATGTGAAATGTGTGTTGTTATATATATTAAGCTGATGTTGTTAAGATGATTGATGTGCTGATAGTTGTAGCTGTTTATTATTCATATATTTAATATATGTATGTTGTTTCTTTCACTAGCTTACCCTTTGTTGTTTCCATGTGGTTTGGACTGTGATGATCATACTATATATGGGAGCAGGGCAGGGTTAGGTTGGTGTTTGCTGAGGAGAGTCTGCAGCTAGCAGATGGAGTTTCATTCTTTTGATGTATTTAGCTACTTAGTTAGCATTTGCTGGATGTATTTTGTACGCTTTGATTCTAGACGGATTTGGACCTTGTATATATATATATATTCTAGATCCTATATGTATATACTTGTTTTTTTCTGTGTAGTATTCTGGTGTGCCGTGTTGTGTGTATTGATCAGGCGGGTCGTTACACACTTAATAGATTTAATTACATTAAAACATACAAATAATCTTTATTAGTTATTTGTAATAAAATATTTTCCTAATTACGCAAATTCTCTACTGTTTTACATTTTTCTTCTTTTCATCAAATATTAATTTCTCTATCAAGCATATTTATTTTTTTCCCATCTTAATAACATACTTAATGAGTATTTTCATGACTAGGAATTGTGGAACACAAAACTCATGTAAGATATTTTTTACTTCTTTTGTAATTTTTTTCTTTTCCATTTTTCACCTTTTAATACCATGTTTAGTGCCAATTTTCATCGACTTAAAAATTGCAAAATCACAAAATGGAAACTTCAAAGGAATAACAAAACACAAAGATTTCAAATACGTAGATTCTTATCTTTTCTATATTT